ACGGAGGAGGTAGTGGGTTGGGAGGGTTTTCGGACTGGGAAGGAACTGAGTAGGTTGAAGATTGCTTTGAAAGAGTGGAATAAAGATGTTTTTGGGGATATAATGGAATAAAGATGTTGAAAAGCGTGTTTATTCCCTACAGTTTAGGAAGTAATATTTTCGGAAATATATGTAATCCCTTTATGGTAGATTAGTTGCTGATTTGTAGCTAGCTGTAAATTAGGAGTTAGTTTCCTATTCTTTCTCTAACTAATTGTAACCTAATTGTATATAAAAGAGGCTAATTACCTCTGAGGAAATACAAGTGAGATAGACGGCTAGGTATTCTAAAACCTACCGGTTTCCACATGGTATCAGAGACAAATATCTGATCACCGGAAAAATCAAATTGCCACCATGTCTGGCACATCCAGCGTAGGTGATCAGTCGCTCGATTCTGGATCGGCAAAATCATCTTCGAGATCCTCTCTCTTGTCAAATACTCATGACAATTTCTCTTCTCAACCAATCACCACTCACAAACTCAATGGAGAAAATTATCTCCAATGGTCCCAGTTGGTAATGTTATTCATCCGGGGTCGTGGAAAAACTGGGTTTCTGACGGGAGCTACATAGAAACCAAAAGAAGGTCTCGAATCCATTGAGATCTGGCAATCTAAGAATGCCTTGATCATGTCATGGCTGATCAATTCGATGGAGCCAGCAATCAACAAGACGTATATGTTCCTTGCCACTGCTCAAGAAATCTGGGAAGCTGTAAAGGACACTTTTTCTGAACTGGGAAATTCTACCCAGGTCTATGAAATTACCACACGCATCCGCAACATGAAACAAGGTGATCTGAGCGTGTTGCAATACTATAATACGCTCAGAATTTTATGAATATGAATGGCACTGTCCACAAGACAGTGCCATATTCAAAAAGATGATTGAGAAGGATCGTGTCTTCGCATTCTTGGCTGGCTTGAACAACGAGCTTGATGAGGTTCGTGGAAGAATTCTTGGACGTGAAGTCCTACCATCCACTTGTGAAGTATTCTCCGAAGTCCGTAGGGAGGAAAGCAGGAGTGTTATGCTGAGAAAAGAATTCCGAGAGGCTCCTGTCACTGAGTCAGAATCATCAGCCCTTGTAGTTAGAAGCAACAGGTTCTCCTCCAACTTTTCTAATGGCGATAGGTTCTCCACCTTTCCTAATGGCGGGATTGACTCTCGAAATAAGAAGGGAAATAGACCTCTGTGCGACCATTGTAAGAAAACTGGACACACCCGTGAAACTTGCTGGAAACTGCACGGAAAACCCCCTCATCTAAAAAACGGACAACCAGAGCAAGGGACCAGTAGAGCTTTTCAAACAGCCTCTGAGGAATCAAAATCAGAGAATGCTCCTGTTTCCCTTAATAAGGAGCAACTGGAAAACCTTATGAAACTCTTGAATTCCACCTCTCTTCCATCTGCCTCTATTGCCTAGAAAGGTAATTTTTCTCAGTCCTTCAGTGTGCTGACCGAGGACAGAACCCTATGGGTTGTAGATTCTGGTGCCTCAGATCATATGACAGGTTGTTCCTCACTCTTCTCCTCTTATACTCCTTGTGCCGGTAACTTGAAAGTAAAAATTGCAGATGGTTCATTAGCCACAGTAGCAGGGAAAGGTTCAATAATTTTGTCCAAAAATCTGGTCCTAAAGTCTGTACTTCATGTTCCTTCTATTTCATGCAACCATTTATCCATTAGCAAACTCACCCACGATCAAAATTGTGTTGCTAAGTTTAGCTCTTCTTCATGTCAATTTTAGGAACTGGCTTCGGGGAAGATGATTGGCAATGCTAAAGAGTGTGGAGGACTTTATTACCTAGACAAGGAAGACTCAAGTAGACAAAATTTAGTCAGCAGATCATTTTCTGTTTCTCTATGTGAAAATAATGTCATGTTGTGGCACTATAGACTCAGCCACCCTAGCTTTCCGTATCTGAAAAATTTGTTTCCATCTCTTTTCAATAATAAAGACCCCACTTCTTTTCAATGTGAAATTTGTCAACTCTCCAAACATCACCGTGTATCATTTCCATCTCAATCATACAAAGTCCGAAACAGAACAAGTTTTTAAAAATTTGCATTCGATGGTCAAAACTCAGTTTCAAACCCAAATTCAAATCCTTAGGACGGACAATGGGGGAGAGTATTTTAAAATTGTTCTTGGGAAATTTCTTCAAAGTGAGGGAATTGTTCATCACAGCAGTTGTGTAGATACCCCTCAACAAAATGGGTTGGCTGAACGGAAAAATAAGCACGTACTTGAAGTTGCTAGGTCCTTAATGTTCACCACAAATGTGCCTAAAACTTTATGGGGAGAAGCTATCCTTACTGCATCATTCCTCATCAATATAATGCGTACTCGAGTTCTAGGGTTCAAAACTCCTCTAGAAGCGTTTCAAAGTGTCTATCCAACAAATCGTCTGATTGCAGATTTACCACTTAGAATATTCGGGTGCACCTCATTTGTCCATATCCATTCTCATAGTAGGGGTAAATTTGATCCAAGGGCCATCAAATGTGTTTTCTTGGGCTGCTCACCAACAAAAAAGGGGTATAAGTGTTTCGATCCAAAGACTAGGAAAATGTTTGTTAGTATGGATGTTTCCTTCTTTGAGAATCAGCCCTACTTTACTAAAAACTCACTTCAGGGGGAGAGTGTGAACACAGAAGAAAGTTTTTAGAATTTTTGGGATACTTTTCCTACCTCTGTGAGCCCTAATCTACAAACTGTTTCCATTCCTCAAACTGTTTCCATTCCTTCACCAGATCCAGATCACTCTCTTCCCACTGTTGTGCTTACCCGAGTCCACTCCACTCACTAAAGAAACTGGGAAAGAGGTCCAAAGACCAGAATTGTTTGTCTATGAGAGACGGAAAAGGAAGGGAAATGAAGGAATTCACACTCCAAAGCAGAACCCGTCATTGGATCCACCGGTTCTTGATACTTCAAGTCTAAACCCTCCTGCGAATCATGCTCCCTGCCAAAGTCCAGGTAATTCTACACCAGCTCAGGACTTAGATATTCCTATTGCCCTAAGAAAAGGAAAAAGAACATGCACTTCTCATCCTATTTCATACTGTATGTGCTATAGTAATTTGTCTCCATCCTATCGAGCTTTTGCCACTAATCTGTCTGATGTAGTAATTCCTAAGTCAGTTCAAGAGGCATTGAGTGTTCCAGAATGGAGAGCAGCAGTTATGGAGGAGATCAAAGCACTAGAGAAAAATGGAACTTGGGAGTGTGTAGCAATACCGAAGGGAAAGAAAACAATTGGGTGCAAGTAGGTGTTTACGGTGAAGTATAATTCAGATGGTTCTATTGAAAGATTTAAGACTCGCTTGGTCGCAAAAGGATTCACACAATTCTACGAAATAGACTATCAAGAAACCTTTGCCCCGGTGGCAAAGCCCAACACTATTCGAGTTCTTCTCTCTGTTGCCGCAAACTTAGATTGGAAAATTTCCCAACTTGACATAAAAAATGCATTCCTAAATGGGGATTTGGCAGAAGAAGTATTTATGGATGTTCCTCTAGGTTTTGAAGATGTTTATGGTGTAGATAATGTGTGCAGACTGAAAAAATCCCTCTATGGATTAAAACAGTCTCCAAGGGCCTGGTTTGATCGTTTTTCAAAAACAGTGAAGAGATATGGATACACTCAAGCTCACACTGATCATACTTTGTTCTTCAGGAAATCTCAAGATGGGGAAATTTCAGTTCTAATTGTGTATGTTGATGATATTCTTCTTACTGGAGATGACAACCGAAGGAGAAAGAATGAAGCAGATTCTAGCCAAAGAATTTGAAATCAAGGACCTTGGACCCATGAGGCATTTTCTCGGTATGGAAGTTGCAAGATCAAAGAAAGGAATTTGTGTTTCACAAAGAAAATATATTGTTGATTTGCTCAGAGAGACAGGTTTTCTGGGAAGTAAACCAGCAGATACACCTATCGAAGAGAACCACAAGTTGGGATATAAGAAAGGAGAGGTGCCCGTCAATAAAAGGAAATACCAGAGGTTGGTTGGGCGTCTAATCCATCTATCCCATACACGGCCCGATATTGCCTATGCTGTAAGAGTGGTCAGCCAATTTATGCACGAGCCATATGAAGAACATCTTGGAGCAGTTCATCACATTTTGAGATATCTCAAAGGAACTCTAGGAAAGGGGTTATTTTTCAAAAAGAATGATTCAAGGAAGATCGAGGCATTTACTGACGCAGATTGGGCTGGATCAGCCAGTGATAGAAGGTCTACCACTGGGTACTGCACATTTATATGGGGTAATCTAGTGACCTGGAGGAGCAAGAAACAACCAGTGGTTGCAAGAAGTAGTGCTGAAGCTGAACTTCGAGCTCTTGCACATGGAATTTGTGAACTTCTATGGTTAAAAAGAATTATGAATGAGCTATCACTTCAAAGTGAGAATCCCATGTTGCTGTATTGTGACAACAAGTCAGCAATCAATATTGCTCACAATCCAATCCACCATGATCGTACTAAGCATGTGGAAGTGGATAGACATTTTATCAAAGAGAAGGTCGAAGAAGGGGTTGTGTGCATACCTTACATCACATCCAAAGGACAACTTGTTGATTTTCTGACAAAAGGTCTACCACGGGTCAGGTTCGAGGAACATCTATCCAAGTTGGACATGATTGACATCCATGCTCCAACTTGAGGGGGAGTGTTGAAAAGCGTGTTTATTCCCTACAGTTTAGGAAATAATATTTTCGGAAATATATGTAATCCCTTTATGGTAGATTAGTTGCTGATTTGTAGCTAGCTGTAAATTAGGAGTTAGTTTCCTATTCTTTCTCTAACTAATTGTAACCTAATTATATATAAAAGAGGTTGATTACCTCTGATGAAATACAAGTGAGATAGATGGCTAGGTATTCTGAAACCTACCGGTTTCCACAAAAGATGTTTTTGGGGATATAAGGGTGAGAAAAGGTGATTTGATGGCAAAAATTGATCACTTGGATAGGAAGAATGAAACACGGGGTCCTGATGAAAGAGAAATAGTGGAAAGGAGATTGCTACTTGAAGAAGTGCTGTTCGAGGAGGCAATTTCTTGGAGACAAAAGATGAAAACTCGATGGGTGAAAGAGGGTGATGCAAACACTAAGCTATTTCATAGCTTGGTTAGTAACAGAAAGAACACGAGTGTAATAGGGAGGATTGAAAGGGAGGATGGGGAGGTAATAAATGACAGTGTAGAAGTGGTAGGGGAAATAGTTGCTTTTTATGCAAATTTGTACAAAGAAGAGGAAAACACGAGATGGTATTTCGAGGGGATTTATTGGAAGCAGAGTCCTAGAGAGAAGGCAGCTTGGCTAGAGAGAGGGTTCAAGGAGGAAGAAATCAAGGCGGCAGTGTTCTCTAGTGACAAGGATAAATCGTCGGGACCTGATGGATTTTCAATGGGGTTTTATAAAAAATGTTGGGAATTTTTGAAGGGCGATTTGAAAAAGGTTAATTGATGAATTTCATAGGAATGGAGTGGTTAATAAAGATTTAAACCACACTTTCCTGTGTCTCATTCGTAAAAAGGAAGACTCTAGAAAGATCAAAGACTTTAGACCAATTAGTTTGGTCTCTAGTCTTTATAAGTAATCGCAAAAGTGTTGGCAAACCAATTAAGGTCAGCTTTGGAAGAGACAATCTTTACAAGCCAGTGCTTTTATCCGGGGTAGATGGATTCTGGATGGTGTCCTAGTTGCTAATGAGATAGTGGAGGAATACAGAGTGGAAGGAAAGGATGGGCTTGTTTTTAAAGTGGATTTTGAGAAGGCATATGATCACGTTAAGTGGAACTTCCTCAAGTATGTGATGGAGGAAAAAGGTTTCGGTAGAAGATGGATAGATTGGATCTGGGGCTGCCTTGGTTCTGCTAATTTTTCAATTTTGATTAATGGAAAATCACAGGGTTGTTTTAGAGCTTCGAGGGGTTTATGACAGTTTCCTCCTCACGTTGGTGGTTGATGGACTTAGCAGATTGATGCAATATTGATGCAACATTATTCGGGACTTGGCTCTTGAAATGGGCTGTGAATTGGTTCTTGGCCTATGAAATATTTAGGCGGCATTGGGTGGAAACCTTTTGTCACGAGAATTCTGGAACCCAATTGTGGAAAAAGTCTCAAAGAGATTGGAATCGCGGAAAAAAGGCTTCTTATCTAGAGGAGGGAGATTCTCTTATCCAATTAGTTTTGACAGTATACCAATCTATTTCTTGTCGTTGTTTAAATTGCCAATGGCGGTGGCTAGAGAGATTGAAGATAAGATGAGAAAATTTTTGTGGGATGGACTAGAGGATGGGAGAGTGGATAATCTTGTAGCCTGGAAAATAGTGTCTCGACCTAAAGAAGAAAGAGGTTTGGCTATAGGAAACTTGTTGAAGAAGAATCAAGCTTTGTTGGGAAAATGGTTATGGAGGTTTCCTCTAGAACAAGATTCATTGTGGGCCACAGTAATTAGAAGTAAATATGGGCTGCACCCCAATGGTTGGGACTCTAACTTGGTAAGAAGAGGAACTCATAGAGGTCTAAATTCCTTTCTTAACAGGGTGAGTTAGGAAGTGGGGGACGGAAGCAAAATTAGATTTTGGGAAGACAAGTGGTGTGGTGATTTGCCTTTTGCAGTCACCTTTCCAAGGCTTTATAGCCTAATCTCAAAGAGGGAGGCGAAGATTAGAGAAGTAGTAATCAGTGGTGAAGACTCAAAACATCAATTGGAATTTTGGTTTTTGTAGGAATCTTAATAATAGAGAATTTGTTGAATTTGAAAATCTCATGGCTGTCTTGGGGACTCTCCTAGACATTCTCATTGTGATAAAAGCGAATTTTGGTTTTTGTAGGAATCTTAATGATAGAGAATTTGTTGAATTTGAAAATCTCATGTCTGTCTTGGGGACTCTCTCCTAGACACTCTCATTGTGATAAAAGGGTGTGGCAGTGTGATAAGCCTCCAGTGCGTTTTACTTACGTACAGAGGAGGATTTGAAAGAGAAATGGAGGAAATGGGACTGGAGTAGAGGTTGACAGTGGGGATGTGAGCCAGCAAGGAAAGGCTTTTGGGGAAGATGAGCTGGATTTTCCAGAGGTTGAGCTGGCAAGTTTGGAGGGAGGCTGAGAAGGGGGTTGGCTTATAGCCAGTCGGTTAGGTTGTTGTGTTAGAAAGAGTTAATTACTAGACAAAGAATTAGTATAAATAAGCTTAGCTAAGGCAGATTAGATTCATTCATTACATTCTCTCTAAAACGTCTTAGACAATTGGATTAGGAGTGCAAGGGGTCTCTCGAAAACCCCCATACCTGTCTCTGTTTTCCATTTTTGTAATTCTATGGAATTTCCACTAGTAATACGACGAACAAGCTTGAGATTGAGCTTGTTGTGTGTAATCTTCTGTGTTGTTTGACTCTAGCGGACTAGATTGACCTTCGATCTTATCAATTGATATCAGAGCATGCTCTTCCTCAGGCCCACGTTGCGGAAGGGGCAACCTGGGGAGGGGCAACCTGGAAAGACCAGAGTGGGCCATCCAGAGTGGGTCGCTGTGGACGTTGGTGTCGGAAGCGTGGTGGTATGTTAGGATCCTGGTTGAGTCCCACATTGCTAAAGTATGGGCTTAACATGTGGGTTTATAACCACTTGGGCACCCTCTCCTTACAAGCTAGCTTTTGGGGATGAGTTTTATCCAAGGGTTATAACAATTGGTATCAGAGTAGTACAATTTATCCTGGGCCTGCGATGAGGAGTGGACTTTCGTTTGGTGGAGGCTCAAGAACAACAAATTCCTCTGGGGTCACGGGACGAACGTCGGTGCCAACCGAGAAGACCAAGGAATCCTCCAGTGGGGTGGTGCCGTACAGGCGTCTCACCGACGCAGAGATACAAATGAAGAGGGAAAAGGGACTTTGCTATCGTTGTGATGGGAAGTACTCTTTTGGACACCGCTGCCCTAACCGGGAGTTGCAGGTGCTCATTGTACGCGAAGAAGAGGAGGAAGCAGAGGCACCAGAGGACGGAACTGAGTCAAGGACGGAGGTGGAGGTGGTGGAACTATCTCTAAACTCGGTGGTCGGATTCACGTCTCCAAAGACCATGAAACTCAAAGGTAGGATACGAGGAAACGAGGTAAGAGTTTTGATAGATAGTGGTGCCACACATAACTTCATTTATGCTGAATTAGTGAGAAAAATGGGAATGGCGGTGGACCGAACTGGGGACTATGGGGTAATAATGGGAACTGGGTTGTCCGTTAAGGGGGAAGGGGTGTGCAGAGGAATCATGATCTCGTTACAGGAAATAGAAATAGTGGAGGATTTCCTGCCCTTGGAGTTAGGTAGTTCTGACATAATTTTGGGGATCCAGTGGCTGGAAACCCTTGGGGTTATGACAGTAAATTGGAAAAACCTGACCATGAAGTTTGCGGTGGGAAACCGCCAGGTGACTCTGAAAGGAGACCCTGGACTGCACAGAACATCGGTGTCCTTGAAAGCCTTGCAGAGGGTGTTTAACCATGAACGGCAGGGGCTGTGGCTTGAGTGGAACAACGTGGAGTTGGGCGCCTTAGAGGGTCAATGGGAGATACCTGAAGTGTTGGAAGAGGTGTTACGACGCAGGGCATCTGTGTTTGAAATGCCTGCACATTTACCTCCGGAGCGAGCAAAGGATCATGCGATAGTACTTACGGCGGGAACTTCTCCGATTAATGTTCGGCCTTATCGGTACCCGCAGGTGCAAAAAGAAGAAATTGAGAAGTTGGTTGGAGAGATGTTGGCTGCTGGAATTATTCGGCCTAGTGTGGGCCCGTATTCCAGTCACGTGTTGTTGGTTAAAAAGAAAGACGGGAGTTGGCGTTTTTGTGTGGACTATCGAGCTTTAAATAAAGAAACGGTGCCTGACCGTTTTCCTATTCCGATCATTGATGAACTTCTCGATGAGCTACATGGAGCTGCAATTTTTTCCAAAATTGACCTTAAGTTGGGATACCATCAGATTAGAGTTAGACCGGAGGATGTGCCCAAAACTGCTTTTCGCACACATGAAGGCCATTACGAGTTTTTGGTGATGCCGTTTGGGCTCACCAATGCTCCTGCAACTTTCCAGTCACTTATGAATGAAGTGTTGCGAGCATTCCTTCGTAAGTTCGTCCTAGTTTTTTTTGATGACATTCTTGTCTATAGTCGGACGATGGAAGAACATGTACATCACTTGGATCAAGTGTTGGCAGTCTCACAGCAGCACACTCTTTTTTCTAATGCAAAGAAGTGTAGTTTTGGCCAGCAGTCATTGGAATATTTAGGGCACATTGTCTCAAGTTTAGGAGTGTTAGCCGACCAAGCAAAGATTGAAGCAATGTTGAAGTGGCCAAAGCCGACTACGTTGCGCGATTTGAGGGGTTTTTTGGGTTGGAAGGGATATTATAGGAAGTTCGTGGCTGGATATAGCCACATCGCAGGGCCCTTAACAAATTTACTTCGAAAGGATGGGTTTCAGTGGACTGCGGAGGCCGAACAGGCTTTCTCTTGTTTAAAAAAAGCTATGTCTTCAGTTCCGGTTTTAGCTCTTCCGGACTTTACAAAACCGTTTGTGCTTGAAACGGATGCTTCCGGGTTTGGCGTTGGAGCGGTGTTAATGCAGGACCAGCGGCCCATTGCTTATTTTAGCCAAGCCCTGTCGTTGCGGGCTCAAGGAAAGTCAGTGTATGAGAGGGAGTTAATGGCTATCGTGTTGGTAGTGCAAAAGTGGCGTCCGTATTTGCTGGGCTGCCATTTTGTGATTCGCACCGACCAACGAAGCCTGAAATATTTGTTGGAACAACGTCTAGTGAGTGTGGAGCACCAGAAGTGGCTTACAAAATTGTTGGGGTAATGACTTCAAAATCCAATACAAACCCGGATTGGAGAATCGTGCCGCGGATGCACTTTCTTGTGTTGTTCATCCGCCAGAATTGAGTGCTTTGCTCGTTTCCTCTATTGTAGACATGCAGGCTCTGCGGCAACAGGTTTTACAGGATGAGCAGCTAGGAAGCATAGTCACGGCTTTACAATCCCAGTCCGAGGCTCACCCTGGTTATTCTCTAGTACAGGGGCGGTTAATGTTTGGGGGCCGAATGGTAGTGCCTAGGGACTCGCCTTACATTCCTAAGTTGCTTCACGCGCATCATGATGGAGTTGTGGGAGGTCATTCAGCGGATTGGTTTTGGTGGGGGATGAAAAAAGATATAACTTCCTATGTGGCTGCATGTGATGTTTGTCAGCGTTGCAAGGCCTCAAACTTAGCTCCTAGTGGCTTGTTACAGCCACTGCCCATTCCGGACCGAGTGTGGGAGGATATTTCAATGGATTTTTATTGGTTTTGGTGGGGGATGAAAAAAGATATAACTTCCTATGTGGCTGCATGTGATGTTTGTCAGCGTTGCAAGGCCTCAAACTTAGCTCCTAGTGGCTTGTTACAGCCACTGCCCATTCCGGACCGAGTGTGGGAGGATATTTCAATGGATTTTTCATTGAAGGGTTGCCTCGTTCGGAAGGTTATGATTCGATCCTAGTCGTGGTGGATAGGCTTAGTAAGTATGGGCATTTCATTGCCTTGAAGCATCCTTTCACGGTTGAAGTGGTGGCCAGGGTTTTCATTCGGGAGGTGGTTCACCTCCATGGGGTTCCGCGTACCATCATATCTGACCGTGGTCGTATATTCCTCAGCCATTTTTGGACGGAGCTTCACAAGCAAATGGGCACGACTCCTGCTCGCAGTACCGCTTACCATCCACAGACGAATGGGCAAACGGGGTGGTGAACCGGTGTGTCGAAACTTATCTGCGTTGTTTTACATCGGACAAGCCGGGAAAATGGCACCGGTGGTTAGCTTGGTCCGAATATTGGTATAACACCTCTTACTATACCTCGGCACGCACTACTCCATTTCAGGTGGTCTATGGCCGTGCTCCACCTCCACTGCTGCGTTATGGACTTGGGACGTCTTTTGTCGACTCGGTGGGTCAACA